AAAATACTACTAAAGTTCAATATTTTCATAATTATAAATACTAAGTGAAGTTATAATAACAAGCTAAGATCAATTTTAAATTATCAGGCAGCATACCCTTTTCTAAATACTCTTTTGTATTATTTTAAGGTAACATTATCAGAAGGTCCAAATATACAAAGGATATCTCAATTCACATGAAGAATAAAATATATTTTAATTTGGCAAATTCCAGGTCTAGTAAATATAAAATATGAAAGATAAGAAAGTACAGCCTAATCATCCAAACTCCTCACCTTCTCTCCCGCAAAAAAAGAAAAGAAAAGCCAACCTGACTTGTCCTCTGTGTCATCAAAGTCAACACTGAAGGAATGGCCACTGTTGCTGATGATTTTAGCTGAGCTTGGGTCATACTTGATGGTAAGGGGTCGGAGGGAAGAGTCATATTTCGCTTCTTTGGTTTTAATCTCAATTGGAGATTGCTGATCACCATTGGCAATAGGGAAAAATTCATTCCAATGAACAGGACCTTGATTGAATATATAGGACCAAAAGAAAGGACTAAATAAGTTCTTTCATTCGACAAACATTCATTGAGCATAATGTACTGTGCTTGAGACTTGAGACCGAAGAAAAAACAAAAATTAATAAAATGAGATTCTCATGTTCAGAACTTCGGCATCTAATTTTTTTTATAAGACCAGTTGTTTTTATTATAGATGTGGGAAACTCCTGGTTTGCTTTAAGTCATTTTCAGAATTACAGTAACACTTGTAGACAGAGGAGCATGTAAATTTTATAAAGTACTTTCCAAAGGTACCCTTCTACCAAAATGAAAACAATAGCACAATTCATCATGGAAAACAATGAGATTCAGTCTCAGCTCCAAGAAAGAGCTGTGGTTGCTCCAGAGGTCAAGTTTGTGGGGTTGGGAGAGTCAAAGGAGCTGAGAAAGTTGTACATCAAAGAAAGGGTGTCCCTCTTAAAGATGCTGTCCCTAATTCTTCTTTCTTCTATCACTCACTGGTATCTTCTAGTGTCACCCAGGCCTCAACTCAATTACCATGATGTCCAACTGGCATACCAAAAAAATATATAAATTTTTCACATAGGATAATCCAAATAAAATGGCTGTACCACGTCCAGAAATATAATATTGTTGATTATCTGCAGTGAAGTTAAGTTGTAATTTATTTCTCCCTTTCTACATTTCACAAGATCCTTCTGTGGTTATTTTGCCAATGTTACATTTGAATTCCAACAAAAGGGACAACTGTCATCCTGATCCTTTATTCAAAAAGTCAAAACCGCATCAAGGTCGCAAATCAGACACGTTAGGTATGTGTCTGCCTTCTGTTTTACTGCCACCAAGTATGGTTTAACCTAATGAGAACTAGATTTCAAATATGCAATGCATGTGCTACAACATGTTGTTGACATTTTTCCAATCAGGAAAGAGCTTCTTTCTCCTCCTAATTCCTTTGCTCTCCTATTTCCGGTTCTTTATAACCAGAACTATTTTCAAAAGAAAAAGGAAACCAAAATAAAATAAAAATATCAATACTTTGCATCAAATACCCAGTATTATCGATTAAACACTACAGTCAGTTCATTTCCCTGCCTTTCAAAAAGGCACCCTTTTAAAATTTTCTAAAATGTTCAACTTTAAACTTCATTCTTAAGTAGAGATATATGATGGTTCCTCAATCGATTCAATGCTAAACACAGTTTTCAGTAACATCACATTCCCTGAACTAAACCAATACGACAATCAAAGGTTGGTGGAAGATGTAAGCTGTTTGTGAAAGTGGTACCTTTCACAAACACCACTTGATGTTCCATTTTATCAGTGCTGCCGTTCCCAGTTTGTCTCCTTTTATCTGCCCAGTGGCTGGTTTTGCCAATGTCTAAACAGAAAACAGGCAACAAAACTTGCCTAGTCAAGATACAACACATTTCCAGTAGGATTTTGCCACGGTTAATCTACTTAAAGGTGTGGTCCTCAGAGAGTGATTTCATCTAAAAGAAGGGAATAGTCCTACAATTCCTAACAAAAATGCAAAAATCACTCCTTATAAATGGCTTTTCTAAAACGGATTTTTAAAATTTCTGAAGATGAGCCTTTTGGGGGCCAATAAATTCTAACCTATTAAAGAGTAATCAGTACCCATCGATTGATATACCCTTCTTCTTCTTAAGTACCATGAGGGCACTGGTGCCACCCAGTGACTATTAAATAACAATAGTATCAGCTATACTATTCCTCACACAAAAAAGATTTAAAAAAATAATAATAAAAATGATTTCAGCAGAGAGGGAAATGAAATTTGTTTTGTGTTTTTTCCCTAAACATAAATTGGAAATTAGAAAAAAGTAAGATTATGACCTCAATCCAAAAAAAAATCTGGCTATTACATTTCTGATTATTAAAGTGCTAAATTTCACACCCTGTCATGTTTAAGCTAGCATGTTAATCATAACTTTAAACAGGGTACAATTAGGAATGGAATTTTTGTGTTTGTGAAAGTAAACTTTCCATAAAATTTGTCTATACAGTACTGTTCAATAATGTACATGCAAATAATCAAAGGAATGTATTATTATTCACAGCCTTAATTTTTCTATTATTATTTATTTACTTTTTAAAATTGGCAAATAAAAATTGTACGTATTTATGGTGTACAGCATGATTGATATTTTGAAATATGTATACATTGTGGAATGCTAAATCGAGCTGACACAGCCCTAATTCGGGTATTCACTAAAGGCTTTCTTGGTGTCATTTTGCAATTATTTCAAATAGTCATTATTTGAAACAATTCAGTTTAATGTAAACACAAGAAAAATGCTTTACTTTTGCTAACTTAGGATATACAAGAAGAAACGTATACGTCTTATTATTGTCTCTCCTATAATAAATTTTTATCAGTGTTTTATAATTTCAATAATCCTTTGCTAATCTTCAGTCTCTGCACGGATAAGCGTGGAAAGAGAGCAAGAAAAAAGTGAAGTAGCCCAAAATATAACTTCACTTCCCAGCGAGAACCTCAAGGCTTACTAAAGTCGACAGTAACAGTCAACCAACTGCAAATTGCTGTGGGAATATTTTACAGTGAGAGCTATTAAGAAATTTGCAGTATTTTTGGTTTGCCAAGAAGGCAACTTAATCTTCAGTGTCACAATGCAAGTTAAGATTTCTTAAATACATTTTCAAAGATTTTCCATGATTTGTTTTTCCCAAGTGAATAATGAGCTTAAAAGACTAAAAGCGAACTTGTCCTTATTTCATTAAAGTATGTCATCAGACTTCTAATCTCTAAGCCTTTAATTGATAAGGGTTGTTACGAGAGAAAGTCCTCTGCTCTTCAAACGAAGGTGAACGAACTATGTGAGAAGATTCGAGGATCTGGGAAATCTTGATACAGCTAACACACACCAACACTCACCTCCACTACCAACACTCCACAAAAGAGGCTTTCCCTGTCTACACTGGCAAAGCTGCCCTCCGCTTCCTGCATTCGGCTCTGAGAAGTGCTTCTCAGTTGAAAGAGGAATCGAAAAGTTGCTTGCAAGTGAGAGATCAGCAGTATGCGGTCTGCGGGCGCCCGGGCATCGGGCCAGCACCCTCGGCCGCCCCCTGCGCAAAGCCCCCCTCCGATCAGGAAAAGGCGCTCACCGTTGTGTTCGCCGTATCCCCAGCTGAGCCTCGACATGGTCCCTCCGGGTACGAGGCAGAGATGTGGCCGGGCAGCGAGAGCGGCGAGGGAGCGGGGCGGACGCGCGGGCGGGCGCCAGTTTAGGGCGGGGACCGCGGGGTGCAGCCGGCAGAGGTGGGAGTCCTGGAACCCCAGGGCCCGGGCGCTCCCGACCTCGTCCTCCAGGGGGCAGCGGCGTGCGGGGAAGTTGCCCGCGCGCGTGCGAGGACGACGGGGGAGCCCGCGAGCCTGGGCTGAGTGCTGGGCGCGAATCCCTCTGGGTCTCAGTTTGGACTCAAGAATGGGAGGTTGGGTTAGAGAGAGACGGAAAGAGAAGGGTTTCCAGAGAGGATTTCCTGCCTTCTGAGAAGTGCTCGTTCTGGAAAGTGTTGCCTAGAGGGCTGTCCTAGAAATAAATGAGTCACCGGGGCCTGGAGCTGCCAGGCTGGGAGGTGGGGATCCTGCTGGCGACGTCAAGAGGTTGGTGAGGGCAGTGGCGGTAGTGATTACAAACGAAATAGTAATGACAGTGGTAATAACCACCATTTAAAAATAGCTACTTTTTATTAAGGGTTTACCATGGGCCAGGATCTTACACGTTTACTCATATTTTTCCAATAGATCCTCTCAGCATTCCCGGGACGAAGATATACTTGCCCCGGAATTAGGAGACAAAGGAAAGAAGGCTAAAGAGATGCTAAGTGACCCGTCCGAAGTCACACGGCTAATAGGAGGAGGAAGTCGCTCTTAAAAAGCAACTGAGATCCCCGCGGGAGGCTGGCTCCTTCGCCCATTCATCCTGTTCTCTTCCTTTTACTCTCACTCTGCGGGCCTGGGCTTTGGGGAGCGAAGAAACCAAACCTGGCTGTTGATATTTGATCCCCAAATTCTGCTGCCTTTCTGACCCCGCAAGAAGGAAGGTTTTCAGGACATCCTTTCCTAGACACTTGGTAGGCTGGCTGCCCTAAAACTGCAGAGCCTTGAATTTCTAGCCTGCGGTAGTGGGTGTTCTGGGTCTGAGTGAGAAATTAAGAGAACTGTGTGACCTGCCAGGATTATAATTACTGTTCCAGCTGCCTGAGGGTTGGAGTTTAGGTCAATTTGAAATTTCATATTGAACTGTGTACGGTGTTACTTATGGACAAACTAATGCAAAGAGCTTCTTAATGGGCACGAGTCTTCGGTAAAAGATGGTGAGAGTGACTGTTTAAGTACTTTTTTCTCTTGCTGTCCACACAGCTCTGGCATAGTGTAGTAATCACAAGTTTGGGGGCAGGGAGGACTCTTGGTAATCGTTGCATTGTTTGGGCACCACTAAATAAGAATCAAATTAACTATTCTTCTTTAGATCTGACCCTAATACCTCATACTGCAACCTGTACCTCCTTCTGCTGATGTAGTTCTTACTGAGACAAGAAAGCAACATGAGAAAGAAGTTTTCATACAGCATTAAGTACAATAAACTTTACGCTCCTCTTGAATCTAAGAGAAGTCCCTGGCTTTCCCCCTTCCATATTTTCTGATAAAATTGGGTTCATATATGCCAAGAATGCAACAGAAACCAAACTTTTAAGAATAAGGTCTGATTTACATTCACTTTCATTACAGAAGAATATATATTACACACATATATTACATGTATTTTTATATGTGTGTGTCTTTAATATGTGTGTATTTGAGAATATTGCCTTGAAAAGTCAAGCCTGGATTACTTTGCTAAGTGTCCTAATTCTGCACTAAGTCTATGAACATAGACTTCAAATATTTGGGGACATATTTATGTATGGTATGTAGGCAATGAAAAAGGTAGCAGTAACTCAAAATTCCATGAACCACTTTCTCCCAGCATCCTTGTCTCACGTCAGCTGCCTCATATTTTATAAACCCAAGCAACCTTTCCCTAAGGAACCTAGTAAACCCATTTTCGGTAACTCAGATAATTTAGCATATCCAGGTGAGTAATGCTGTGGAAGCTAAAGCAACTCCATTCAGGATGCCAATCCACCGAGTTGACTTCTGATTAACCCCTGTTCAGGAAGGTCTCTAAGATTTCTGCTTTATCTACTGTTACTGTAAATCTGCCCCTAGGCAGATTCACATAGCATTCTTGCCTTTCCCTGAAGGGTGGATTTCAATTGTCCCACACATTCCTTCCCTAAGGTATATATAAACCCCATGTCCTGAATGTAATGGTGCCAGGATCCACAATCTTGTCTCCTCTTGCTGCTGCCGCCTGAGACATGGCTTCTGTTTATAAGTCCTTATTAAATGTTTCTTTTTAAGCAGCTGGATTTGTCGTCCTCTTTCTTTGGCCCCTCAGATTCCTCAGAGTTTGGTGGTAGGTTTGCATAGACCTGGTCACTGCAGAACAAATACTCTAAGTAAATGTCAATTCCTGATACCCAGTAATAGTTGTTGAATGAACAGATGAATGAATGAATGAACCAAAATTGTTCAATAAGTTCTGGTTGATGGGCTTCAAATGCTTCCCAGATTCTTACTTTTATTGCTTGGGTACACATTTCCCTCTGGCTAATTCGTAGTGCAGTCTATACAATTTTCCAAAATAGTGACCTAAATATTGGAAACAATCAAATTACCATTCACAGGAGACTGATTAGATCATCTGTAGAGCATCCACACAAAGAACCCCTATCCAGCTATAAAAAGAATGAAGAAGCTCTCCATGAGCAAATATAGAGTAAGTACTGGGACATATTCCGGGGGCAAAGGGGAAGCAAAGGTACAAAAGAGTATATATAATATACGATGTTTTGTTTTAAAAAAGAGAGATAACTAAGAATTTGTATATCTATTTCCATGTCTTTGCCAAAAACATCTGTGAAGGATAAACCACAAATTAACAAAAATGATTCCTTATAGAGGATGTGTGTGACTGGGGTGGAGGGATAGGGATGAAAGTGAAATTTCCCAGTGTACCTTTTTGACCTTTAATCATAAATGTTTTGCATTTTTAAAACAAATAAATTAAATCAAAGAGAATAAAAAACAAACCCTAAAATTGAATCCAAGCAGAAACAAATAAAATTAGTTGTATATTGAATTGATATTATAACCAGTCAGAAAAAGTTAAATAACATTCTAATATAGTAATCTGACTGTATATACTTAGTAGGGTATATAACATATTGAGAAGAACTACACAAAAATCTTGAACTTTATTTACTAGTAGGTTGTTTTTGGTAGGAATATTGGTGTTATAATTCTAAACCCATTTTTGTCAATATTGTAAGATAGAATAAACAAGTAAATATACCAATGATTTCTGGAACCATGATTTTCATTCTGTTTTACATAAAACTATGAAATGACAGAAGCTAAGAAAGAATCTTGTGGTGTTGGATTAGAATATTCTGTTCACGGAAAGATCCTAAAAACAATAATATCCCAATAATATAGCTAATAAAACTTCAAATCTATAACTCTTCACTTAGGTATCTCTTCTAAGGCCATATACCTAATTTTACATATGTAATTTTGCATTCCTCTTTTTAAAAAAATCTCTAAATTGTATTAGCTTTAGGCCCTACAAATCTGGATCTACGCATTGCTCTGAAACACCCAGCACCCAGATCTTGGTTTCTAAACACCATTCCCTGTTTGAAGGAACCAGAGATCCTTGGAGAAGTGACCAGTTTCAGGTCTAGAGCAGCGAAAGATCAAGATGACCCTAGAACATACTTTTTATGCCAGAAAGCTACAAGTGCTCAAAAACTAATGAAGTCATGTAAAACACACACAGATACACACACACACACACACACACACACACACACACACAGATGAGCTAGCTTAAAGGAGATCCCACTGCCAAATTTGGGACAATTTGACCATCAAAAAAAAAAAAATGAAAACACCCCCCACTAATATCCACGAGTGCATAGTGATGTTCACAGAGAGAGAGAGAGAGAATGAGAGATATCTTCTTTATGCCAGCTGCTGAATACAGATGACATGATAGAATTTTATAGCCATCATTTTTGCAGGGCCAATGTAATGCCTGGTTCAGGCAAAATCAGTGATACGTGCTAAAACTTCTGGATGAAAGTTTAGGGGACTAGGGTATTCACGTAGTCTAGGATTGAAAGAGACAAAAGATATGTAACAAACTCAATGTGTGACTCTCAATTAGATTTTAGGTTGGAAAAAAGCTATAATCAATGTTTTGGGGACAATTTGGGAAATCTAAATATGTATAACATATATGTGATATTATTAATTGATGTTAATTTTCTTAGGCGTGATAGTGATACGAGGAATGCTTTAGGAGATGAATGCTACAGCTATCTGGCTGAAGTATGTTGACATCTGAAACTGACTTCCAAATGTCTCAATCAGTAATTGGTGAATCTAGCTGACAGGTATTCTGGAGCTCATGATACTATTCTTACAATTTTTCTGTAGGTTTGACATTTTTTCAAAAAAATTAGGGGAACAAAAATCTTCTACTTCCTGAAATCATTGAACCCATTAACTTACTAAATAACACTTCATAATTATTTGTGCATTTTCTCCTTAACAAAGAACTTCTTGTCTTAGGGTTCACAACTATTAAGTGTAAACAAGAAAAGGAAGGTTAACACTGACCAGAGAACTCAGGAATCCTGACCTAGGATATGATCAAGTCTACGTCACTTTTTTTTTGCGGGGGGAGGGATGTATTTTTTTTCCATTATTACTCTTGAACCACTTAGATCAGTTGAAGCTTCCTTTGCAACAAACCTTGCTTATCTCGGTTCTCTTCAATGACACTGTGTGTCATAATAGGCAGCACTTGTAAGTTACAAATCTAGCCATAAAAATATTTAATTAACACAGTAACATATTTAAGGAAATATCAAAGTATGAATTCATATTCTTTCATGAGGGCATATACACATACTCTCTGAGAGACACATTTTTCCAGGTGTTCTTTTTAGAAACTTTAAATGTGAACCAAAGTAGCTATCATCATCGGACTTTTATTGAACAGGGAACTGAGCTGAGCAAGTTTCCCC